AAAAAACCCCCCCCCCCCCGGGGGGGGGGGTGGCCATGCCACAACCCCTTCTCCTTCATTCTCCTCCCAGGATTGGTGTTAGTTTAAGCCACTGGGTCCAGGACTCGAACCGCGGTTGACTACATGGGAGTCCATTGACATAGCCATTATGCCAACTGCTGGTTCCAGCCCTTCTCTCATTTCTAAACTTCTGTTCTTCATGAGATCTCACTGTCTGTGATGTGTTATACTTTTTACAATATTTTTGCTGGACTTGCTGCACATAGAAAGTATTTGATTCTATCTAAACATATCACATGTGTCAAATGCTTTATATCCTTGTTTGGTCACGGTTCATTCCTTCTTCTTTTTTTCAGGTTTTTGCCATAGGGTGAGTGGGCTTGCTGGAGACAAGGAAAGTGAGAAATCACCCCCAGGAGGGTGGGCCACGCTGCAGTCCCTTTCCCTCCCTTCTCCTCCTGAGATCTTGGACATGCACACACATGACCTGGTGTAATTTTCAAACCCCCAGTTGTAGGACCAAAACCGCAGCAGGCCATGTGGGAGTCCAGGCACCTCACCCACCACGCCACCTGCTGGCCCCACAGTTCACTTCTTAATATACTAGTTGCTTTGAAAGGTGGAAGCAGCTTTGGCCCTTTCAACCTAAGCGTCTCAGGGGCTGTGTTTTGTATAATTATTTCCACTTCGCGGATGAGGTATGAGCCTGAGAAAGGTTTTTCTTACTTTACCTGAAGCCTTTCCCACTGTGCCATGTTGTCTATGGTTAGTCAGAGGCATTCTACAGCCCATAAGAGCAGCAAAGTGTTTGGGACCAGCAGTTGGCGTAATGGCTACGTCGCTGGACTCCCATGTAGTTGACCGCGGTTCCAGTCCTGGACCCGGTGGCTTAAACTCACATCAGGTGCGGGTGCTTGTGTGCCCAAGATCCCAAGAGTAGACAGGATTGTGGTGTGGCCATCCCCCCTGGCGGGTGATTGGGTGATTTTGCGCTTTCTGTCTCTGTGTCTCTTTGTCTTTCTGGGGAGCGCACGCACCCTATAGCAAAAACCTCTTAAAAAAAAAAAAAGGAGCAGCAAAGTGTTACTTTGGAACATTGTGGCAAGAGGTGGGATTTCTGGGGAAATGCCTCTTTGTTTTGGGTTAATCCTATAAACAAGGCGGGGATGGTTGGCAGGTGGGGTTGGGGCCTCCCTCCCTTCCTGGTTTCCATAGCCTGGGAGAAGGGGGTGACTAGGCTGACCAAGATTCACACAGGACACCTGTGCCCCTCCTTGAGATGTGCTTTTTGTGTCCAAACCCCTCTCACCCCCAGCTTTCCCCAAACTAGGCAAAGACCCTACTCCACCGACCTGCAGCCCAGAGAGCAGGCCCTGGAATTCCCTGCTGGCTAAGAAAAAGCCGGCGGCCCTGTCTCTTGTTGAGGAGATCTAATTACTCGGGCAAGCAGGGCTATTTTCTCTGTCCTCTCCACACCTGAACATCTTCTCAAGGGTTTGCTGGGCCCTGGAGGGTAGGGAGAAGTGACTCCAACCCACACATCCTGAGCAGACCCCAGGGCACCAGGCCTTTCTTCAGGGTGGGCCAGGAAAACTAAAGCTAGCCAGTTTGAAGGCAGAGGAGAAAGTGGCTCGATCTCTGATCTGTGTTTTGTGTGGAAGGGGCTGTTTACTGCGGGGTCAGGTCATGCCACCAGCCCCCACACCCAGTCCACGTTGGAGTGAGTCTGGAGGGAGCTACCTGACCCCAGCCAGGCTCCTGGCGCTCACTGGCTAGGAGGGGGATGGGGTGGGAAGGGAGGTGGGGGCTGGAGGCAGCACCCGACCAGCTGGGCCCTTCTCAGGGGCCTCCTGTCCCAGAGGGGGAGGCCTCCTTCCATCTGGAGAGGAGAGGGCTGAAGGAGTCATCCAGAGAAGGCAGGATAGAGCCAGAACCCCAGGGATGGGAGCCAGGATGACCAGTGGGTATCTCCCAGTCCGTGGAGGGTGAGGGTTGCTCCAGGGGCAGGGCCAAGAAGGAGGGAGCCAGGCAAGAGGGGCGACAGGTGTAAGACCCTGAATTGTCAGTGACCTCAGGGACTTGGCCTCGACTTCGCTATCAGTCTCACTTGGAAAGGGGCGCAAGCCCAGGCGCAGAGCTGTCCTGGGCTCCAGGCGAGTCTGTTCGTTCTCGGCTCCTTGTAGGTCCCCGGTAAGCGCTCTTAGCCCTGGCACGACGGCCCTAGCCTATGGTCCCGCTCAGGGCTGGGGCTGGCACCCATGATACACAACACACTCCAGGAGCCAAAGGTGCCTGAGCGGACCGCGTTTCTGCACGTCCCGCGCCCTGCGCTCTGCTCCAGCTCGGCACCTCCGCTCCTCCGCTCCGCAGTTCACCGCGGCTCTGCCCGCCTGGCCCGGGCGGTGGAAAGACCTGCTCTGCTGGAACGTGGAACGTTTCCCCTCCCAGGCGACGTCCGATGGGTGTGTCTGGCAGGAGGTGATATTTGAAGGGCTGCTGGCGCGGGCGAGCTGCCCCGAGTCACAGGCGCCGAGCAGCGGGTGAGAGCATGGCTTCCCGGGACCCGCCGCCCACCACTACCTACGCCCCGCCCGAAGTGCCCTCGGGGGTCGCGCTCTTCCTCACCGTCCCCTACGCCTTCTTCCTGCCTGAGCTGGTGAGTGCAGCGCCGGCCACCAGCAGAGAGAGGCCAGGGATGGACGGGGCTGCCCTCCGGGACCAGGGCAGCAGCGGCTGGTGGCCCAGGTCCCCACTAGGCTCAGCCCGGCGCTGAGCAATCGCCCTATCCCCCTGTCTCCCTCGGCCCACGCCTCCCTGCAAAGCAAGACCCACAAAGGGTCAGGGACCAGGCCCCCAGGCCTCCTGGGCGTTGGAGCAGGGGAAGCACCCCTACTAAAATATCCAGGATCCTCAGGAAAAGGTTGGAAATAGACTGTAATGATGTGATTCCCCCCGCCCCGTGTAGTTATTTGTGCTTTTTGAAAGTACTAAATGGGAAGGGGGGTTTGCCTTTCTTTTGAGAAGAGGTCTTCCAGCATTTTCTTGGTTGTCATTGTCAGCTGACCTTGACTTTTGACTTATGTGGGCTCCCCACCCGAGGTAGCTCGTGACAGTATGTGACAGAAAACAGCCCTAGGAGATGCCCTGGTAACGCCCTAGAACCTGTCACTATGTGCCTCTCTGGCAACCTACCTCTGAACCTGGCCCGATCCTGCCCGGTGGCTCGTTCCAGTCCGCAGAGCGGGATTACGGTGTTCAGCAGAGCCCAAGTCCCTTCTGCGCGCCACCCTCCACCCAGGGAGATGCGCGAGACCTGTGAACCACTCTGGGCAAAGGAGTGTATTTTGCTTTTCCAGCACCTTCTGAAATACCTAGCTCATGGTTCGTATTTTCTTACCAGCTCTGAATTTGGCAGTGCTGCCTCTGGGCATGGAGGGAAAGACAGAAAATGAATCCACCTTTCAGCTGGATGTGGTCAGCCCTCTCGCGCTCGCTCTGTCATCTGCCTGAAAGTCGAAGCTTTAGGCAAACTGGTTAAAGGGCGGCCATTAATCCTAATGAGAAAGGGAAGCCTGGCAGGGTGGGCCCAGCAAGGGGGTGGCTGTGGCTGAAACCCCACCCAAGAGGCAGGTTTCTGCCAGGGCTGCCACCCCCGGGCGCCAGTGTGGGCACCCTGCCAGACCAATGACATCTTAGTGCTTTTACGAGTTCTCTGTGGCAAGACCTGGGTGTGTCCCTCAGCCTGGAGCAGCCGCATGGACCGCCAGGGTCGTGGCTGGCTCGGTCACCTTCTACAGTGCATTTGCTCTGCGTCAGTCGTGCAAGCCCCCGGCACAGGCCTCTGCCTCCCAGGACACCCCTGTCTGCTGGAGAGACACACAGCACGTCCTCTGCACAGACTGTGGCACCAGCGAGGAGGGACCACCTGACCTCACCAGGTCAGGGAGAGGTCCGGGCCTGCAGCTGAGAGCTGGTCCACCAGGGACAGGCTAGATTTCCAGGCAGAAGGGCGGAGAGGGAAAGGCCTAGAGCCCTGGAGAGAGCCACTGGCTGGAGGCTGGAGGGACAGAGCTTCCAGAGTCAGGAAAGCACAGTGGCGAGACTCCTGTGAGGGTCACCGGTCATGGTGAGCCCTGCCTGCTCCTGCACACGGAGGTCCTGTATAAGTGTGGGCTTATGCTGAGCTCTGGGACCTAGTGTGTTTTCTATGGGTGGGATAGCGTCATCGGTTCCATTTTCCTCATTTCTTTCCATTTTAGAGTAATTTTCGATGTACAGTAACGCTGCAGTAATTGTACAGAAAGTTCTCTGTTCTCCTCAAGGGCCTCCTCTATTGTCCACACTTCCACGGTACAACTCTTGAAAGCAGGAAATTAAAAGCGATACTATGCCAGGGGCCAAATGGTGGCTCAGCCATAAAATGTGACACTCTGCAAGGCTGGCCCACATGGAAGGTTCCGGGTTCACATTCAGCGACCTCTCTGGGTACCCCCAGCACCTGTATGCTTGTGATCCAGGGCTGGCTGAGGCAGGATTGTGGCATCAAGACCCTACGGGGGATTCCGTCTCTCTGTTTCTCTTTCC